CCCCTCCCCCCCCCCCTCAAGCAAGCAGCGTTGAAATGATCAAAGTGGACAGGTCCGCGGCGATATAAAGGTTGGTAATCACTGACTTGGAAGATAAATTATTTACCATATTTCATTCTGAGTGGTATCTTGTGCCGTCTTGGGCAAAAATAAAGTATCGTATTACCCCCACCCCCACAAAGTTTTTATAAAAAATATTATAATAATATTAAATTTAATTTCAAAAACACACTTCATCCCTAATTAAGGCTTGAAGGGCGGTACAAATTAAAATACAAAACGCTACTATACAAAATCTACATACAAGACAATGGACAATACAGGCCAATATACATCGAGGAATATGAGTAGGCTGGATACAAGGATGTATACTACGTCACCCCAGCAGGTGAGTGCGAAAAATGTGTTTTTAACTCAGCTTTGAAAGATGCGCTATCTGGCTGTTTCTGAGAGCGACAGGAAGGGCGTTCCCGATTCTTGGGCCAGCAAAAGCTAAAGTGCGCCTTCCGTAGGTCTCAAGGCGAACTCGCGGTATCCAGAGTTTGCGACTATCGGATGAACTGAGTGATCTAGTGGGTACATAAGGCATCATGAGCGCTTTGAGATAGGACGGTGCCAGGTCATGCAAGATGCGGTACGACAGAGTTGCACTTTTGTACTCTATGCGAGCGCGGACCGGATCCAATGCATGGCCATATACTTGAGCCAGTTTCCTCTGTAAAGTACCTGGGTGCTACCATTCAAAGAGAGGTCCATGGGACGAGCATATTAACAATATATGTAACCAAGCAAACAAGACCCGGGGTTTCATAACTCCTGTGTGAAAGAAAGAGCCTTTAAAGCATTTGTCTGTTCAGTTTTAGATTATGCATCTTCAGTCTGGGACTCATTTACCCAGAAGAACATTGACAGGTTGGAGGCGGTGCAGCGACGGGCAGCACGCTTTGTCCTAAACCGCTACAGGAATACCTCTAGTGTTGGCAGCATGCTAGAAACACTAGGCTGGTTAACATTGGAGGAACGACGACGACAATCTAGGCTCTCCATGATATACAAGATAAATAATGGGCTGGTCCACTGCTTCAGCAATAAACAGAAACTCGTCTCTCTCCCGCATAGACAGCGACGAGGCCATGACAGGCAATTCAGGCTCCTACCAGCAAGAAGCCAGTATAGGAGCTGCTCATCCCTGCAAAAACAATCAGGGACTGGAACAAGCTTTCAAACGGAACAGTTGAGGTGACAACACTTGACACATTTGCGTCTATGGCCTCAGGCCTTCCAGCCCCAAATGCATGATTCCCTCACAAAGTAGCACTTGCAATCAAGGAAATATCCTCATCAAAACAAGGCACAGAAACATTGCGAATCCATAGGAGCAAAAATGATCAATGCATTGATCGTGGGTCTTTATTTTATGGAAGATGTTCTCTCAGAAGTGTTTTGGCAAGATCAAATTTGCTTTTGCGCAGAAAAATTTGAGCCGCATTATTCTTTGCTTTTTTTATTTTATCCATAGATAGATATTAATAAAATCATCCGCGAGATTGCAACCCCTTACGTACGCAAAAGCAATGTCGTTTTGCATTTCATATGCTTTTTTCTTGTTTGAATGAGTTATAAGTGCATTAGTAAAAATAAAAAACTTATGTTACAAGTACAAAGCTAAATTTGTATTTAATTTTAGCAAATTTTTGCAATTAATATATAATCCGTTTTGTAATGCACGGTTATTAAATCAAAGAAACTTTGGAGTTTTGGCTAAAATGGGTGATTCGCCCTATGACTTCATTTGCGTGTTTATTTAGAACAAATCTATTTATATAATTCGGCAGCAAAGGTCACACACCATCACCACGCCAGAGTGTGCTTAAATAATGAGTTCACTAGCGCATAAAATATAATTCCCGATAACTACGCTAAATGATATATATATATATATATATATATATATATATATATATATATATATATATATATATTAATAACGAAATTGCATTTGGTGCGTAATATTTTCTTTTCGGAAATGAAATCGTCTTAATTTCAGCATTGTGTAAAAAATATTGGGTTTAAAAGTGGTTGGGACATGACAATATTAATAAAGTTCATTGGCGTGAAATAAAAAGTGTGCAGTGACGTATCATGGGGGAAGGGGTGTAGCAAATATTGTTATTCTTAAATGTGCGTTACTTGAGTTCATGTTTTGTCAAGTAACTTTACTAGATGGCAAGTTCACGCAATTCTGTCGCCATTGTGTGGCGGGCCTCTATCTAGTTAGTTTTAATTTTATTTCTCAATATAAACAAGCCAGTAAAAACGCACTAAAAACAACAGATGTTTGGGTTTCCCCGATAAATTAAGTGATTAATGTGATATTCTTTAATCATTTTTTTTTTAAATTTAATTATTTTTCATAACTTTCAAACGCATAAAAATGGTTACAATAGTTCCTTAATTGTTACTTTAAATGTATTTGTAATTTATAATAATAATGCTTAAACTTTTTTTTTATTTTTTTTTTTTACAAAAATAAATGTTGATATAGCAAATTTTTACCCATTTAAATTTATTTGATTTCCGAAAGATAATAGAAAATAGCCATGATCATTGCTTAGAATCCGAACGTATTTAAATCTTCTCGGTTCTTTTGCATTACGGTCAGCCTAGCTGATTCTTTCATATATATATATATATATGGTGTGAAATAAATTAGCAGATACTTAGAAATCTTGCAAAATAATTCATAGAGAAGACAAAAGCAATTTTATTTATTGTGTATTATAAATGCTCTCTTAGAACCATGTATTGGTATGAATATTGTAATAAATACGTTTATTTAAAAAATCTTTTTGCAGTTATAACATATATTTATTTGGATGTTTTGCGTAACGCTTCTTGAATTTCATTTTAAAAAAATGGTTTAGATTCGTTTGTGTTTCATTTGTCAACGCAAATAAATGTGTAATGTTTATTTCGTTTCGATAAGGGGCTTGGCTGAATAAAAAAAAAAAAAAAAAACTTTAATCAAGGCTTATGTTTAGTGTCAGGATAAGTTAGGTTTTGTTAATTATATTCACCGATTGTTTAAGTCATTGCACTACATAAATTATACCTCCCCCAACCCCATTTTAAAAAATAATTCAATTACACCTCTACTTATAGATATGGTTACCATGAATGTTGGGGATTCTATTTAATCCACGTCACTGGCTTATGTAATGTGCTACCCAATAATATTTTTTAAAGCTGTCCATGTCTTTCAATGACCTACCTATCTTGTGGCTTGTATGCACCAGCTTGGAATCACCGGGTGGTACGGGTTTTTTTTTATGGATTCAAAGAATAATGCAGGGAATTGACAAGGGATATATGAGATAAAATTACGTAGCCGATCGGATCGTTATTAATCACTTCTTTAATTAGTAAAACTTGTGACTTCCTTGTTTACTTAAGTAGGTAAAATTGCTTTGTTGGACACGTATGTTGGTTGGGGAGGGGTGGGGATGTAAATGTCTGCTTATAAAAGGAATCTGCTTCTCGTGTTTCTTAACATCAGCTGAACTTGCAGTGGCCACACAGTAGATTGGGGGAAAGAAAGTAAGCAGTAAGTAGGATTCAGTCAAAAAGTAAAATGATTAACTTCATTTAGAGTATTAAATTTTTTATATCTATTAAATATTTATTATAGATGAGTGGAAAATAATTGTAAAATTATTTAGTATTTAAGACAAGTATTTGTTACTCATTATGTAACGTCTTGTCAATCTGTCTCATAACAATGTATGAATTCAGAGATTATCATATGGTAGAGACCCTTCTTTTCTGGGGAAGTAATTTTGGAACTTGATACTCAAGTTGGAAATAAATTCTTGTGACTGTATAGGACACTTCTTTCTAATCTCGATATCAAATGAAATTTTTACCTGCATATTTGTATATGTTGTATTCTAAAGCAGATAAAGTTGGATTGGATGTAAATTTAACAGAGTAAAATTTCTGACTTAATTGTACTATTTTTTCTGAAGGTATCAAAAGTGGTTCAAGTCAACATAGCAGGCCTTAAACTTAGTAATTTTAGAATTTTTTTTAATAACATAACGGTCAAACTCCTAATCTCAGGGCTAATTTATTAATTATGTGTAAATATTTATGTTTATGTTTATATATTTACATATATTTATGTTTATTTACATTTTTTAATGTTTTTAATTTATATTGCATGTTTATTTTTATCTTTTTAAACATTTATATTTTATTTTATATATTTATTGATATATATATTTCTTATAATAATTTTAAGCTTGCTCAATCCAGACTGATTCACTTCAGCCACAGCCAAAATGCATTCAACTATCTGGATCTGTGAGTAGGGTGACGTTTGATTTATTCGAAAGCATATGAAGTTTTCAGAATTTATGAAGAACAAAGCTGCTTATGAATTAGAATAATGTTTTAAGACTGAAGAGAATAAAGAAGGTGATGTGTGTTTGTTATTTAATGCACGCTTTGATATGTTCAGGTAAGCTGATATTGTTGTTATTATTCTTTCTATTTCAGATGCTGTAACAACATTCCTAGCTATACTAGGTAAGCTTTTGCTGGAGAAGACCAAAAAACAAATATCTCGTATTTAAGTTTCGAACTTTTTTTTTAATCAACACCCAATTTTTTGGAAGCAAGCAATGATCTCAATTTTATAGAATAAAATATACATCGGAACTCTTTTACTCACTGTGCAAGATTCAACTCTTACTTTCAACACGGTTCTTAACATTTATACCATACTATAAAGTGAAACTAGACGGTTAGTTGCAAAATAATTTTTACTACATATACATTTAGAATATAGGCTTGCTCAAGAAGAACATGAACAATTCTGATGTATGATTCATTACACTGTCATATCGCCTGCCATGTGCAATAGTGTTCATAATACCCATATATCCATCTGTCTACATATAAAATGTATTACATTTTTAAATACTTCATCATGTATCTACAGGATCGCAAATTCTTTCCGTTTCAAGTGAGTTCATTGTGATATCGTTAAACACTATAAATAGACAAGTGTCTGGTGCGGTAAATCTAATTTTAAAAATATAATATGTATAAGGAAAAAAGTCAAAATCTAAATTATGAAATTTAAAAAGTTTTTATTTCAATAATCAATGCCAGGTTTGGTTTGTTTTGGTTTTGTTTTCTTATATTATTTAATTTAATTCTAACATGTAAAGGCGAAGGGGGCACCTTAGAAGATGCAATTACAAAGATAAAGGAGCACACATGCCTACCGTGTAAAACAAAGTTAGATGCTATGGGGAAAGAAACTGCTGTAGACGGGATTTGCGAGTAAGTAGTCATGGTTACTTTTGTTATAACAGGATTGTAATCCATTTAATAATTTATTAAAAAAGCGATGTATTTTGTTTTTAAAATGACGTAATATTTCAATTTTCAACAAAAAAAAAATAAATTAAAGAATAAAGCGTTTTCATTCAAATAGTGTTAAAAATTAATTGAAATATCTAGACCCACATTCACTGATTTTTCTTTTCTTTTTTTTTTTTAAAGGAAATTCCGATTAGCCGCAGAATGCCTAAAACGACGGTGTAATGCAGGTGTAGCGGCAATCGCAGCCTTGAATACTTCATGTAATTCAAATTTTTATAGTTGACAAAAAAATCTTAGTAGCTAGTTCGATTGTAAGAGTCTTATATAGTATGTAATATGGAGAAGGCGTGGTGGGATAAGACCACTTGGCGTACCGGTCAGTTCGTATGGAAAAATAAAACCAATAAGTTAACACTTCAATTTTTTTTCTTTTTTCTAACGAACGCTTTATCAACGTCTATGTGCATCTACAAGTTCTCAACCGGGACTGCGGGACACCGATAATTTTTAATATTTTTGTTTCAATAAGTCAAAGACTGTCATTACATAACGTTTTCAGTAAAGTAGAGCTCAATGCGGTATTAAGCTCCCAAGGTGTGTGATTGATACAGCGGAAAAAGAAAATAAATGAAAAATTATTTTAATATTATTGCAAAATTAATATTTCAATTTACGATATACTTAATGAAAGGCTTTAAATTGTAAATCAAACTTTGAGAAACCAATAAAAAAGGTTTACAATCTTTATTTAAGATTTAAAACAGCTAGTTGTTTGTTAATGCTTAACAAGAGCATCATTACTAATTATCAGCTAGTTATTTGTTATTTACTTCTAGGATCTAAGCAGGGGAAAATGAAGCAAGTGACCAACCTCTCCATGAACAGTGGATTCGTTTTTTAAAGTCATTAATATACCCCCGGAAAAAATTAGGCAATTACAAAAAAAAACACTCATTCATATTTTTATTCGGTTTATAATGTTTTTGTTATATTTTTTTTTAATAGAAGTAATTTTACTATCGGGGTTTATGTCAAAGTGCTTAATACATTTTATATTTTGGCATTTTTTTATGTTTATATTTAGTATACAGAGTATATTATAATATATTGTTCACATTCACAATTTCAACATACTATTTATATGTTTTATATAATGTGAATTTATAATATATATTTTTTTACATTTTTTTGTATTCCATCAGGTGTGGCTGATCCTAAGAATCCTGTTGATGGTAATGTAAAATCATCGTAAAATGAGTACAGCTATTGAAATTTCTTATATAATCATAATTATTAACATTTTTTCTGCAAGAATGACAAAAAGCGTATTAAAATTAAAATATGGAAATGATTAGAATTGGGCATAAGATCTTTAAATCCTTTTTTTAATTTGAAAAAATTTATCTTTTGTTCGTCTGCTTACATTTTCAAGTAAAAGACAAATTAAAAACAGTTAATGAAACGTGCGGGAAGCTCCCCAAAGTCTGTGAATCTGACCAGGAAGCATTAGTGTCGGACGGCCTTCAAGCAGATATATGCCAGTGAGTGAGAACAGATTGATAAACTTTTATTTATTAAATATATTTGAGTTGTTCTTTATACGGTCATTTTTTTCTTTATATCTTTTAATTATTTAGTTATGTACTTTGCTTTTATCTGTTTGCTAGTTTTGTTTGTTTTCTCTGTCATTCAAAATATAAGAATTAAGCGGTGCGATTTATTTTAAGCTAAACAGATTAAAAGCAAATATTAATTTACATGGTCGTTTTCGTTGGAGGATATATTTTGGGCTTAAATACTAAAGATATATATCACTCATGTGTATGTGGATTAATAAATGTATAGCTATTACCGCATACACTAGTGTAAAAATCGATACATTTTAATCGTAAACTTCATTTTAACCGCAGAGTTGACTTATCCGCGGGTCAGCTCCATTCTACATAGAATTTTGTTCATTGAATAAGGGTAATGTCAAATTACCGGTAGTGGTAGTCAATGTTCCCTTTAAGGTTTGCTGGTTCATGTGCAAAATTTTACAGCCCACAAATACACACTTACATGGAAATTTGCTGCGCGGATACTCAAAACTGCTGCGTGGCGTCTGTAAGATAGCTGCATGGCCGCGCAGCCGCGCAGCTTAAAGTGAACATTGGTGGTAGCATACTAACAGTAGCTGTGCGTTGACCAAGGTACCGGGTACACACACACAGACGAAAACCAGCTCGTGATGCTTGAATAAAATCTAATAGCAAGCCATTCGTGTCAACAATGACTGTTTCGTCCGTCAACCTCTATTCCCGGAACGAGAGAGGACATTGAAGTACATCGAGAGAAGGTCACTTGATATCACCTACTGCGAAAGAATGTAGGTCTAATGACATCGGCCATAGTTTAGTTTACTTAGTTTGCTGCTTTGGAAAAAATTGTAGAAAAAATTGTAAAAAAAATTACAGACTTTCATAGCCCCAAATTTTACCCTAAACTTATTCTTGACTCTTAGCATAATTTATAATTGTTGATTTTAAAAAATGCCATCTACGAGTAAATACGGTTGCTATTGGTTTCCAATAAGAAGATGATGTCATTTCACTGAAGATATCTGAGTGACTTGTTTTGTTTGTTTGTTGTTTATTTGTTTTTTTTTAAACCCAACATCTTCTTCTTCTTCTTATATTTGAGGTGCCCACGATCAATTTGTTGATCATTCTGGCTCCTGGTTTTAAATTCAGAGTTTGCCTTCTCATAGACAGGTTGCCGTCCAAGGCTAACGAGTCCCATCCACCCGGGTAGCTTGGGATGGCTTTGGTGGGGATTGAACTCCAGACCACCAGCTATTTCGTTTGAGACAGTTTAGACCGCTCGGCCACCCACATAATTTGTTGCCCTTTAACACGTTGGCTGTATGCTACACATTACATGTTTTATATTAACACACACACTCACACAGATGCATCGTATAGAAACTTATAGTAATTCCGCTGGGACGTCAGCAATATTTTGTATTGCTTTGATTTGACTTATCATGGTGTTATTTATCATTGTATCTTCTTCTTAACATAAATCATCATAAATTTCAGTGCATTTGGAAAATATGTCAATTGTGTTAATAACACTTGCGACGACGATGCTACACTGAAGTCTGATTTTGACAGCGCTAAAACTAAATGTGGTAATTTAAACATTTAATGGTCTTTTTTTCCCTTACAATACAATTTAAACATTTAATGACCGTATTTCCTCTACAATACAATTTAAACATTTAATGACCGTATTTCCTCTACAATACAATTTAAACATTTAATGACCGTATTTCCTCTACAATACAATTTAAACATTTAATGACCGTATTTCCTCTACAATACAATTTAAACATTTAATGACCGTATTTCCTCTACAATACAATTTAAACATTTAATGACCGTATTTCCTCTACAATACAATTTAAACATTTAATGACCGTATTTCCTCTACAATACAATTTAAACATTTAATGACCGTATTTCCTCTACAATACAATTTAAACATTTAATGACCGTATTTCCTCTACAATACAATTTAAACATTTAATGACCGTATTTCCTCTACAATACAATTTAAACATTTAATGACCGTATTTCCTCTACAATACAATTTAAACATTTAATGACCGTATTTCCTCTACAATACAATTTAAACATTTAATGACCGTATTTCCTCTACAATAGAAGTTTCCTTTGTGTGTGTAAAAGCGGGTGGGGATGTCGCAACAAATATCCTCAAAGACTCTAACCTATTCTTGCCTCAAAAATGAATTATTTTCTCTAAGTAAGCGTCTCTTCAGCTCAAAGTAATAATTTTTCGTATTTAATATTCGTAATCCACCATTTCTTCTTTGTATATCTAACAATCTATCTTTCTCTTTCTCTCTCTCCCTTATTCATCTACGCTCAGTCTCTGTCATGTTTTCTCACAATAAAACACTTTTCCGTGAAATCAAATAAAAACTGAAATAAAAAAACATATGAATTTAAAAGACGTCATTTTTTTAACTTTATAATAGTACTAGCTTAAACATTTAACTACCAAAATGTGTTTATTCCTAGTTCTGACTACAACAGGTGAAACACCAACTACAACCAATGGTAAGACAATTACAACAACTGAACAATGACTTTTTAAAAATATTAAATTCAAATGGAAAGGTTCTATTTCTAAAAATTCATGTCCCTAGTTTCAATGTAAATTCATTTGTATTCATTGAAACAGTATAATTCTTCATCTCAGATATAAAATACATGAGGCTTTTTATTAATAAAATATAAACAAAATATTTTTAAAGCGTTGCGCAATCAATTTGTATTGCATTAATTTACTATATCAACTTTTTTTTTTTTTTTTTTTTTTTTTTTTTTTTTTTTTTTTTTTTTTTTTTTTTTTTTTTTTTTGTTTTATTAGGATTGGAAAAAAGTATTTTTTTTTTTTTTTTTTTTTTTTTTTTTTTTTTTTTTTTTTTTTTTTTTTTTTTTTTTTTTTTTTTTTTTTTTTTTTTTTTGTTACTTCTATTGGTTAATGCTTTGGGATACATGAAGATAGGAAAAGTAGACTTACTGTTTTAAAAAATACTCAAACAACTTTTGGTTTCTTGTTACAGGTTGTACCAAAAACCTTCTCCTAACTTCAGGACTGCTTCAAGTATTAACCTTTTTGGTAAAATGGTTACTTTAAAAAGAGAATCCTGTATCTTGGTCGTAATAGTATGTAAACGAAACAAAACTTCTCCTTTATCTTAAATGCCAACAATTTGAATAAATTCTCTCGATAAAAATAACCTTATTTTATAAATGCTGCCTTAAATACTGTTCAAATAGATATTTTGACAATTGTTGATTATTTTTAATATATTTATCAGTCTTATCAACAGATTTTAGTTTCATAAATCTTTTCACAGTAAAAAAATCATTATATTTGTGTATTTCAACATAACGATAGTGTATTTTCCAAACATTTTATCTTTGGTCTTATTTAAAAAATAAGAATTTAAATAATTGTTAACAATGACGGCAACAATGTATTATTTATTTTAATTAGTTTTACGTCTATTAAAGCTGTTTAAATGATGATTATGGCGTGACCAATGTCAGTCAGGGTGTTTTATTTATTAACCATAAATTTTATATCTAATAAGTTTTAAAAAAATACTAATTCAGTTTATATTTCCAGCTATGACGTATTTTATACTGAAAAACACTGGCAATATGATCGTGTATGATCGTGTAATCCCTATTTATCCTACCAATTTAATTTTTATTTTTTACAATAAATTAATTTTAAAATTTCTATGTACAACAAATATTAAGTTTATTAATATTAAAATTGTGAGAAAAACATTTTAGCTTTCAATTTTATTTATTTTTAAGTCAACATTGTCAAAAATAAAATGGAAAAATTTGGTTTCAATTTAATAAATCAATTTAGACTACAAAAAATATGATGATCAAAAACATTATTTTTAAAAAAACTTGGCGAAACTTTACACATCAATTTAAGTTTCATTCTGCATTTAGTGAAACACAATTGCTTATGATTTTGAAAATAAACTTAATTTACAAATTGAAATGATTGCTTTTTTGTACAATAATAAATTGAATGATTTCAAGCAAACGTTTTACGTTTTATTTCTTTATATATGTTATTTTTGTATCTTTTAGCTTGTTGGCTAACATTGTCATCCTAGTACTTTGGCTAACTTAGTCACCTTAGCTAGTTGGCTAACCTTATCACCCTAGTACTTTGGCTAACTTAGTCACCTTAGCTAGTTGGCTAACCTTATCACCCTAGTACTTTGGCTAACTATGTCACCTTATCTAGTTGGCTAACATTGTCACCCTAGTACTTTGGCTAACTAAGTCACCTTAACTAGTTGGCTAACCTTATCACCCTAGTACTTTGGCTAAATATGTCACCTTAGCTAGTTGGCTAGCCTTATCACCCTAGTACTTTGGCTAACTATATCACCTTAGCTAGTTGGCTAACCTAGTCACCATAGTACTTTGGCTAACTATGTCACCTTAGCTAGTTGGCTAACCTTATCACCCTAGTACATTGGCTAACTATTTCACCTTAGCTAGTTGGATAACCTTGTCACCCTAGTACTTTGGCTAACTAAGTCACCTTAGCTAATTGGCTAACCTTATCACCCTAGTACTTTGGCTAACTATTTCCGTTAGCTAGTTGGCTAACCTTGTCACCCTAGTACTTTGGCTAACTAAGTCACCTTAGCTAATTGGCTAACCTTATCACCCAAGTACTTTGGCTAACTATGTCACCTTAGCTAGTTGGCTAACCTTATAACCCTAGTACTTTGGCTAACCATGTCACCTTAGCTAGTTGGCTAACCTTATCACCCTAGTACTTTGACTAACTATGTCACCTTAGCTAGTTGGCTAACCTTATAACCCTAGTACTTTGGCTAACCATGTCTACTTAGCTATTTGGCTAACCTTGTCACCCTAGTACTTTGGCTAACTATTTCACCTTAGCTAGTTGGCTAATATTGTCACCCTAGTACTTTGGCTAACTATGTCACCTTAGCTAGTTGGCTAACCTTATCACCCTAGTACTTTGGCAAACAATGTCACCTTAGCTAGTTAGCTAACCTTATCACCCTAGTACTTTGGCTAACTATTTCACCTTGGCTATTTGGCTAACCTTGTCACCCTAGTACTTTGGCTAACTATGTCACCTTAGCTAGTTGGCTAACCTTATCACCCTAGTACTATGGCTAACCATGTCACCTTAGCTAGTTGGCTAACCTTATCACCCTAGTACTTTGGCTAACTATATCACCTTAGCTAGTTTGCTAACCTTGTCACCCTAGTACTTTGGCTAACTATGTCACCTTAGCTAATTGGCTAACCTTATCAACCTAATACTTTGGCTAACTATTTCACCTTAGCTATTTGGCTAACCTTGTCACCCTAATTCTTTGGTTACTATGTCCCCTTAGCTAGTTGGCTAACCTTGTCACCCTAGTACTTTGGCTAACTAAGTCACCTTAGCTAGTTGACTAACCTTGTCACCCTAGTACTTTGGCTAACTATGTCACCTTAGCTAGTTGGCTAACCTTGTCACCCTAGTACTTTGGCTAACTATGTCCCCTTAGCTAGTTGGCTAACCTTGTCACCCTAGTACTTTAGCTAACTATGTCCCCTTAGCTAGTTGGCTAACCTTGTCACACTAGTACTTTGGCTAACTATGTCCCCTTAGCTAGTTGGCTAACCTTGTCACCCTAGTACTTTGGCTAACTATGTCACCTTAGCTAATTGGATAACCTTGTCACCCGAGTACTTTGGCTAACTATGTCACCTTAGCTAGTTGTCTAACCTTGTCACCCTAGTACTTTGGCTAACTATGTCCACTGAGCTAGTTGGCTAACCTTGTCAACCTAGTTCTTTGGCTAACTATGTCCCCTTAGCTAGTTGGCTAACCTTGTCACCCTAGTTCTTTGGTTACTATGACACCTTAGCTAGTTGGCTAACCTTGTCACCCTAGTTCTTTGGTTACTATGACACCTTAGCTAGTAGACTATCATGCGGAACATTTAGGAAGCATGATGCTACTTATTTTATGAAATAAAATATCCAATAATTATGCTAAATAAGATTCTTTTTGAAAAAAGTACGTTTGTTGCGAAATATGTTCTTTACTCCTGAAGTCGAGAAATAAATCTGACGTGTAAAAGCTGGTTGGATATTAGAATATTTATCTTAAATAAAAATGAAAGAAATGTAAAGATAAGTTTTATACGAAAAACCTTTATTTTAGGAGTCGTTTAATTATTTCTTTTGGAAAAAATGCAAAATGGCGTAATCGGAGTATCTACAAATGGAGTTTGGCAAGAACTAGATAATTGAGGGTGTAGTATTCTAAACATTATTTCTCTTTGTAGACTCCACGACGGGGAATAAATGAGTTTAAAATGATTTACGTGTAGATTAAACTTTTTTTAAAGTTATAAAATGAGGAACTATAATTTAAAAGCCTTCACATTTGGATAAAATAATGATATAATAAATAACTTAATGAATTTCTATAAAAAAACGTTTCAAATTAGACTTGTTTTCAACATGCCAACAGACATTTAGAGATGTATTTTTTACTTCTATCAAATTTATACCAGAAGCTGACCTGTTGAGAAGCGCCTTTTTGACTTGAGGCCTAGTTATTAAACCTTAACTATGACAATAGTTTCACTTTGATTCCATTTGTTATTCAATGTCAATAGGCCAGAGGTGTAGTTCTGAAGAAGAATTCAGTTTGTCCACTTGCCCCCATTATTATTCTGTATTCTAGACTCATAATAATGAGTAGTAATTGGTGGTAAAATAAAATGATGCCCTGTGTCTTAATTAATTCCTAAAAATCTCGCACAACATCGTAAGGTAACAGCAATACGCACGGTGATGCTTCTGTACATTTTAACTCGGTAGTTTCCGTCTTTTGAAGTGCAAAATAATATAGAATGACCAATTGTTATGAGATAATAATACATTGCTAAAAATGTAAAAAAATTAGCAAAAAATTCTCTTAGAGACACGAGAATGTTTGAATTAATTTTTTTATTAGGTCCCCCTTTTTAAGACAGGGGCGGACTCACACATTTCTACAGCCTTGCCCAAGCACATAACTATGCGCTCCCCTCCACTCAAAGAATAAACTCACGAAATTTTAATAGAAGAGAGACGATTTAGTTTGTTAGAGTTATTACCATTTAAAAAGGTAAATATTTTTTTTTTTTTGCGTTTATAATATTCATTTTGATATCTGCCAATTATATTGGCCGTTACACCATGACAGCAACAATAACCATGGGCCGTTATGACAGATCATTGGTTAAAACCAGTTAAAAGTTGTAAGAATGTTTAACCTAAGTAGCCTATCGATTACTTTACTTTAGTTAGTTCAAAGTATTCCCCCAAAATGGCGATAACATAAAATACTTATTATTGAAATCAATTTTAATCTGATATTAAATAATTTTATTGAAAGCTTTGAAATTTCGTGTAAAATTTGCATTAGGTCCCTTCAATATGATGCTTAGTAAACAAGCCATGAGTTATGTTTGTTTCATGTTTCATAATAATCTAACCACCACCACCACCATACACACTTTATTATAATTTGGCGAACAACATGTTAATACTCTACTTGCTTCATACAAGCTTACAGGCCTGAGCAAACTAAACAGTAAATAAGAGTGACAATGATATAATCTACGTTCCTACTAACAGTAGATGTATAGAAGCTCAGCGATTAGAATGTTATAAATCACTTGCATTCATTATTGTAACATCAAATCTAAAACTTTACATTACAGCATGCTTTACTAGAGCATGTTAATTAGAAATAAAAAAAATACTGTATCGTCTGTGACTGAACAAAAAAACACAACACAAGACAACACAAGCCAACACAAGCCAACACAACACAAGAAACCACAAGCCAACACAAAACAAGACACCACAAGCTAACATAACACAAGACAACACAAGACAACACAACAAGAGACAACACAACAAGAGACAACACAAGACAACACAACACAAGACAAAACAAGCCAACACAACACAAGACAACACAAACCAACACAAGACAACATATACAAGACAAAACATAAGAGACAACTCAAGGCAACACAAGACAACACAAGACAACACAAGACAACACAGGCTGTGGAAGATGGGCAAAGTAAATCTACTGTTCAGTTTATTTAATAATACAAGGATATTTGTATAACGTATTTTATAACTTTTTCAAACTAATATTTAAACATATAGATTTGTTATATTTTCTGCATATCCCTGCACTCTAGGCCATGACTTGGTTCGGCCTTAAGTTGAATCATGTCCTAATCGAAGATAACTTGCAAGTAAGATGCTACGTTAAAATTCTGTTTTGAAAAACTGACTTTTTTGTTTTTCTATTTCGTTGCTTTTCTGTTTAATTTTTCATTTATTTATTTTTATTTAGCTTTTTCTTTTCATAGCTTTTTTAAAAAAAAGTTTTCTTTGTTTTCTAGCATTCCATTCATTTGCTATTCAAAAAAAAAAGACATTAGAACGATAACTCTGCCTGAAACTATGATTAACGTTGTTCATGTCATGGATTGTTTCCCTTGGTGATGACAAGTCGGCTTCAGGCGCATCATCAAGGTTCACGCACAAGGACACCACATGGAGTTCAAGTCAACAGCAAGCAAGTCATTTGTGTCAGAGCATCACAAGGTGTAACCGGGAATTAAATGATCCGTTGGTTAAACTTCTATTAATTGCGGTAAAAGTCGGACCTAAAATGACTTGTTCCTAAATTTCCGTAAGAAATTTAGGGTCCGTAAATAATAGGAGACATCGGACAAATTTTTTTTTAAGTGACACATACGGTATATCTGAACATTTTGTGATATCTACTTACTTGCTTGGTCTTATACAATCATAATTTGGAGAAAATCACCACTGATGGGAATACTAAAGAATATAATAACTTTATAAAGTAGGCACGAGCCCCATGGTAAAATGACTTAAAATATTCGTAAGGATATTTGAAAATTGTTTAGCTTTGAAATTTTTTTTAAAAACATTCGCTTTACATTTTAGCTTCTCCGT